CACAGTCAGTTGTCAAGAGATTCAATTGAAATACTGTGAGTGAATTACAACGTGACTGCCCTTGATGTCTTCATATTGAAGCCCTCCATCCACTCTGTAGCTCGAAGAATTAGAAAATGTGATGGAGTGACATACTGTAGAAGCGGGTAAGCTAGACCGAGAAGCAACAAAATGTGAGGAGCAATTTAATCCATGCTAAAAATTTGTCCCACGCGCAGGGCTTGTATGAAGGTCAACAGTTGTTATACTATGACTTAGCCACAGCGAGCATCAGGGGAAGGCACATACAGGACTACAATGAATCAAGAGCATCTATTCTCTTTCACTTTTTCTGTTTTAATGTTCTCTAGAACATCTCTTGACTCTGTGTGTGTGTGGATGCTTGCTGCTGTGAAAGTGGCCCACACCGCATGAAAAAAGAAAGAGAACTTAAACTGTGAGAACCCAAAGTATGACTTGTAGAACCTCTGAGAGTTTCAGACTGCAGTGTGTGTGAGAAAATGTATTTTGGTCAACTGGTTACTCTTTGGATTTGCCGTTTTAGTCTGGATGGGAGGTTCAAACAAAAATGTAGTAATGTGAATGTAGCCTCAATCTATGTTTAACCCAAGCCGAGCTGCAGGCAGTGAGGTCCTGTCTCTTTTCTGTGTGAGATACAAATAGAGGCACACAAACAGCATTTTGTTGACAACTTGTAGAAAACATATTTTGTCGGTTCTGCTGTATGTGTGTTTTCATTTAACCCGGAGTGACGGATGTTTGTTGGTACTGAAACAGCTGATATTCTGTCTCTATACTTTCCAGGTGGGAGATGCAGGAGGGTGCAGAGCTGGAAGATGGAGAGAAATCTATGGTAGAGGAACTTCAGAAAGCCTATTTTGTTTGCTGCTGCAGCCCGGGACAGCAGGACCCTCCTGAAGCTGATGAGACACTGGCAGAGGAGACCCAGGGGGAAACACGTCCAGCCGATAAAAGTGCTGCCCAATAACAGTCCACGCAGTTGGAATTTTTATCACGTTGTAAATGTTTGCTTGTAATACTCACTTGCATCTCTCAAGGTAGTAGGTATAGTGTGAGTGTGTGTGTGTGGGTGGGTGTGTGTGGGTGTGTAACTGGGTTTGTTCATGCACTTTATGCAGTGAGTTTGCATATGTGTGAAAACATGAGTGAGAGAGCGGACAAGAAACTGAGTGAACAACAAAAAGAGTGAGGAAGACGGTGCCTCCCTCTTTATGCACACACCTCAGACAAACTCTCTGTGCTTTTCTATGCTGCATCAGACGCATTTCATCTTTTTGGAGCACATCTCCAGAAATCAGTTCTGGGAAATGGAGAGCCTGGATTTGTTTGCCTGGGACAAGATGGGACTGTGTGATCACTGTTGGTAGTTGAAGTTTTTTTTTTTTTGAGACAGTGAGTGTAAAGACATTGGTGTCAGCATACTTTCTCCTCATTCCTGAAAGCAAACATCAAATATTACGGTTGGGAGGCAAGATGATGTATGTTTTGATTACAGTGTGTCCCAAAAATCTGCCCCACTATGTAGCATCAGTCAGTATTTTGTGCAAACTGAAAAAACATTTATTTTATGTGTAATACGATTGCTCAGTATATTTTTCCAAGTTTGTCGATATTTTGTTATTTATGAAATGGAGAATTAAACATGAAAATAAAATCATATTCTTACTTCACTGTTTCTTGGTTCTTCTGTCTTCTGATCAATTTGTGTGCTCTCTGTGCAGTCAATAATTTATGATGATTTATGACTATGAAGTTAGCATTTAGTTTTTGAATACATACATCAGATGTTCTTCTGTACTACATCAGATGTTCAAATAAGGATTAAACAACTCAAATTATGCTCGTTTTATCAACAAGAATATAATTTCAGCTCACAAAGGTTAGTGGAAACCCTGTGCGATTCCTTTGAGAGTGGAGGAAAACCTATCCTACTCCAGAGAGAGATGTTCCTTTCCTTAACTAGATTTTTAATGCAAATGTAGCAAGATTACGATCGCCAAACCACACAGTACAAAAGACAAGAAATGTTCAGCATCTGAATTCTGGCTGTGAATCTGAATAAAGGCTAAAAGGCAACAAAGCACCATTAGTCTTTGTAAATGTATTTGACTAACATAAACCTTTTTTATTTTGTATTTTCAGAAAAAAGTATTTGGCTAGCCAAACTAAGATAACTAAGATTATTTGGCTTTCAAGTTATAAACAAGTCATAATGCTTTTAACACAAAATTAAATGCCAATAGAATATGTACCAACAAAGCAACTTTTAATATACAATACCAAATTAACATATCAAGGATAATACGAATCCAAGCTTTTGTTATACATGGACAGCCACAAGACACTTTGTATACACCAAAAACACAAACAAACAAGCAAACTGTTGTGCCATCATATGACTGCCACTAAATGAAACATTAAAAAGTAGCACAGATAGAGCATGAATTTATCTACAGTATATTTTATACAATGTCTTTTTTTATAAAAAAGGTTAATCAATACAAGCTCTCATTACATAGTAAGCGTACCTTAAAAGTCCTGCCATAAAGTTACAATAATTACTTACAAAGTACATCAAGCTAAGCTTCAAGTAAGCCTTTGTTCAGTTTGAACATAGACCTGAATGTCTGCTCTGCCGTGGGCCAACCAAGATTTTCCTGCTTTGGGTTTGAGAAAGATATTAAGTACAGTCCAGGTGAATTGACCAGGCACTCTTTTTGCAAAACTTTTTTTTGTATTTGTCAAGTAAAGTCTGATGAAATTAAATTTGTAACTTTAATCTGACTTCCACATCTCTGCTCTCAGGTGCTGCATTAAGTACTGAGTGAGGTTGAAGCATCTCCTTTCTCGAGTCAAACTCAGTGGATATCAATGCCACAATATGTCATCTCTGTTTCTTATTTGGGTCTCCCTTTGCAGCATTTTCAGTGTTTTGCTTGAGGAAACAGGGTAGCTCAGCTCCCCTGAGAAACAGCTTCAACTTCTAGAGGCCGTCCGGAAGTAGGGCATCCAGCTTTGGTTTAACCAGGAGGCTATTTCTGTGAATCAAATATATGTCATAAAGTACAATCACAGGTATATGATACAGGTGAACAGGGTGTGGCAGGTATTTTTTGGTAAGTCAATCTGTGGCACCATATCAGTATATCTGACAGGTCTACTTTAAAAAATTAAACCATTCAAATTATGCTTTTTTCTTTATGATCCATGTCACTCTGACAGTTTTGTGAAGACATTCCTGAGACGTACACCACAACAGCTTCTCCTGAGTGGAAACTAATGTCCTTGTGAGGAATCAAAATGAAGCCAATACCTTTAATAAGACGCAGACTGAAAGGTCTGTCAAATTAAGATGACAAATTTGTAAAACATGTTATTCTTTTAGGTAACAGTCCAGTAATTTGAGACTTACAGCAGAACAAAGGAAAGACTGTTTTTCTAAGGGAAGAACAACCTGTTAAACTGTTCTATATTAGATGACAATCTTTACATCCTCCTGCCAGCCTGACCCGATCACTGTCCTCTTCTATTATTATATTAAAACAAAGCATGTTGTATCTGTTCCTATTTTAGGGCTTTACAGCATATTTATTTTGTCAATTTCCACTTGTAAGCCACTAATGTACATGAGCCCAGGTAAGAGAGACACATATGTGTGCCATCCTGACATTCATTATACACTATAATGATAAATGAGCTGCTCCCACTGTATCACAGCCACTCACACATGCACCACCCCCTGTCCTACTTCTAATGATGTTAACACATGTAAAACATGCAGAAGTATTAGGCTTTATTATATATTATATATGTATTCTTATTTTACACGATCTTAAAATGATGCTGGTATTTCATGCACAGGAAGGTTTATATACATCTTAGCAATTCAGGGATTGTAGGAAATACACCGTGTCCCCATAGTCATCCTAAACTGGATATTGTTATCAAGCATATGAGGGGAAAATAATGATCCTGTCATCTAAGTCAGAATTTAATTACAACACAATCAATGCATTATGTAGTTCATCTTATGCAACACATATAACAAAGTGAAACAGTCAGGGGAGAAGTATGGACTAAATATAATCTTAACACACAAGCATGCATCTACATAGAGTCAACCCGTCAAACTAATACTTAATCAAATGGCTTGGGACTCTTCACCTGCCAGTGACTCTTAAATATTTTCTCATAATAACTTTACTCAGTTATTTAAATGATCTTAGAACTTTTTATTTTATTTTTTCATACAAACATTACCTACAGTGGAGAAGGCAGTTCCTTTACTCAAGTAGAAGTTTCCCAATTTACCACAATTAAAAATAAAAAAATATATTCAAGAATTTATAAAAGTAAAGAGGTCTTATTACTATTACTAGCAAAATGTCACTTTATTTGAGCAGTTTCCTTTATGTTCTAATAATGTGGCTAAATTTTCCTATGCAGATGCGCCGTTTTGTCGAATTCAGACATACATTTTGTTCATCTTTCATCTTAAACAAAAATTTCCCAATTACAGTGCTGATTGTTGGACATCTGGAATGAGAAAAAAACTGTAGTGAAAGTATCAAAAGTAAAAATATTATCTATTGTGAAAATGGCACTGACTCAAAAGTGTCATATTTATCATATACATTGCAGGAATATCATAACAGAGGCAATAGTATGTGAGAAACATTTAAATGTTGTCAAGGGGTAGCTTCAAATAAAACAATGCATCATATTTAATAGAGAGAGAATATATTTTACACATAAAATCTTTCAGTCCAAATTATTTTAATAACTATTCAGTTGCTGTGAAATAAATGTGGTGGACAACAATATGACCTTCTGTAGAAATATCAAGTTGCATAAAATAGAAACACATTAGTACAAGCACCTCGAATGATATTTAAAGAGAAATAACAGCGACAGCGAAAACATCTGTATAACCTGGAGCTGCTGCTGTGCTACTGTGCCTTTAAATATCCCTTCCAGTCCGTTGCCCCGGTAACCCGGAAGCTTCACGTGCTGCACGCTCTGTACCGCTTAGAGTCCTTCCTGTTTTAGAAATTTCAAGGAAGCAGCAGCAACTGGACAGTCGCCTATACTGATGGTGCGTGAGTCGAACATAAAGCATGCCTGCATCTACTGTAAACAGCCGTTCCTCTCCGAAAGTCGAAGTTTCGTCTGGTTGAAACGAATGTGAAGTAAAAGCACGAATATCCTACTGTAACCTGCTCGCAGTGGCTCCATGGAGAACGACTGCTCACATTCCGGGAGTTGTTTTTAAGAGTAGTACGAAGCATTAAACAGATGTTGACTGTTGTTGATAAAACGACAGAGCAGTCTGAGATAGATAAGCGTGTGTGAAAAACAATGTTTTTAACTGTCTGCAGCCTGGTTTCAAAGTAAAAAATAACTTTGCTATGTTTGCGTAATTAATTCAGTTGTTGCACGTGTGCAGAGCTGAGGGAACGCACGGCTGCATGTTTCATAACAATAATGGTGACAAATAGTTGTAGTTAGTTGCTTATGCAGTGTGTTATTGCAGTATAAATGATAACTGCTACATTTTATTCAGTAAGCCATAAGCTTGTAGCCTGTCTCGTGAGTGTAGGATTCAACACTAAGTTATAAAGTTTTGGCATACTGCCACCTTACAGGTGCAACAACCTTTGAGACAATTACTTTTGGCATACAGGCATGTTCGAGTGTGATATAACACAGTAGGCTGTATATTCCAGCAGTGATGATTTTTTGTTCCTCATTTTCTTTTCCCACATGTGACAGGATGCATCTCAGTGATCTTTGGGAGAGTTTACCCATGCTCTCTCATTTCGGTGCGGCCACACCAGCCCTGTACATACTGTGGATCACTATGGCTCAGATAGCTGGCCAGGAGGACAGAGAGAAAACTACTGCACTCAAAGGTAAATAATAAAGAAAAGAGAAAGGTAAATTAATGCTCTTACAACAAAGGAAGCAAAAGAAGCAGTATATATACTGAAAGAGGAGAAAATGTGTTCAAAGGATATGAAATAAAACATACATGGCCACATAAACATTCCTATGAAAGACCTAACTTATATTGTCCACATGTTGCTTGTTATGTCTATGTTTTAATTTATTTTTTCAGTTTAACTTGCTGCATTTTCAAAGCTTATGACTTCCATCATCTCACACAAAAATCACTAAAGTGTTGCTACATTTAAACAGACTCCCCTTGAAATGCCAGCTGCTCTCACCCTAGTTAAGTTTTCTCCTACAATGACCTGCGGACAAGCACACCAACATGTCTGAGTTGTCTAAAACCTATGACACAGACACATTCATAAGGACTAGTAGTCTTAAATAACTGATAAGGTCCAGCCTGCTTGTCCCTGAAGAAAAAATGTTCCCAAAACAGATGTAGTTCCTGTGATGTTGCACCATAATTTACTAGTTAAAATTATAGATGACATTATAAAAATGTGAAATACAGCAATATTGTGCACAAGTTATACTTGAATAACATTTTGTAAATGTGCAATCTCTCTCATTCAGATTTGTGATTGTATGCCTTTAAGATTTATGTAGTTTACCTGACAGGTCATATACCTTTAGACTTTTAGCTGGCCCCAAGAGTAGATGACATAGGACAGGAAATGTTCCACTTAACCTTGAGTTAAACATGTTCACCCACCCTTTTAGCAGACCAATTTGTGTGATTTCTTTCCATGAGAAATAGGACTCACTGTGGGTTCAGATGGAAGCCAGCCATTTCGATCCCTTGCCCAAAACTTCATAAAGAAGAAGAAAAAAATGGCTCAGTGTTTTTAGCACACTTTTAGCCTGGAAGGGTTATTTTAAGAAACTTCTATTCTCCGATCACAGTCCTGATCTGAATAAACGCTTAACATCAGTCAATATATGCAAACGGTCAAATTTGGGTATAAAACAATTCAAAATGTGTTTCATGAAATTATTCAATTAAAATAATTCATTGATTTAAGAAGAGAATATGGCAATCCAACAAAGATCATTTTTAAAAACCACAAATTCGGAATGTCTGTTTACTTATAAAGGAAGTTTTGGATCATCTAAAGTGGAAGGATATATTAATGTCCTTGATTAAAAATAAAGTATACAGTATAAAGACATAAAGATCTAGGGATGGTTTAGATGAAAATTGCTGGCTGAACATTTCTGAAAGGATACGTTTCCTATTTACAAGTTACAAAATCAAGGAAGCTCATTTTAAGTGTATCTTTAAAATCAATCTCACTCCCTTAAAGTTGCATACAATTTCCAAAAATCATTCCAGATGAAGCCTAAAACTAAAGAAAGAATATTGATTCATCTGTCTTGGCAGTACAATCTGTTGAAAAGTTTCTGGATTTCACTCCTTCACCAAATCAGCCTTGAAAATAGAATTAAATTTAAACACTTGTTTCTCTTTATTAAATGATATGCCCGGTTTTCTATTACATCATCATTATTTTGCAAAGAAACGCATACCTCTATTTTAGAAAGAATAATCTCATCCAACTTTTGATGTTCCTGGACCAATTTTTACCATTAGAGATTAACTCAAAAAAACAAAAACAAAACGAACATCCACGGCAATGTTAAGTTCTTTGGTTCAAGTTATTTTCTTAATTGGATGGGTTCTATAGGTGATCAGTAATGGACTTGGACAATTTCTTGCCCTTGTTGTTGATTCATAACTTAACAAAAGTAGGAGACATTATTAAATTACAATGTAGGAGATGTTGCTAGATATTCTTAGTTTATGATGTTGTGATTGAGATTATGACATGAATGTTGATATTCTTTGAAGAAAGTCAGCTACTGTCACAAAATTTTGCTCAGCTTTGATCTTATCTTTTCTCTTTCTTGTCAGATTTGCTGTCAAGAATAGACTTAGATGAACTGATGAAGAAAGATGAACCTCCTTTCACTTTCCCTAAAACATTGGAGGAGTTTGAATATGCCTTCAATGAATGTAAGTACATATTTTAGTCTTCAAAGCACACCAAGCTTTCTGCTTTAGCTAAAAAATACCAAATCCCATGAAGTATAAGGAAATAAAACAACACTGCTGACAGTTCAAGCATTATAAGTCAGCTTAGGTGAATAGAAAGTTAAATCTTGACACTAGATTGTCAAAACCACATGAGGTCTAGATAAACAAAACCTAAGAAAAAACATGTTGTCCATTGCAGTGCTTCCCAGTCTCTTTTTGGCTTATGTGGGGTCACAAAATTAACTTCTTAGATTGTTTAATTTGAATAATTGTTAGTGACCAGGGGCCGTATTACAGAAAGTTCCTATGTTAAGTCTTAAGTTAAGATAGAATTTTTACCAATTTGGTTTTACAGAAGCAAATCCTAACTAACTGCGGGCTAATTTTCATGTATTTCTTGAATTTAACAGTCTCCTTCTATCAAAAGCCTGCATTAGGATGCTTTTGTTGCATCAAGCCTTTAGATTATGTTTTAGATTAAGACATTATCTAGTGTTACATCACCTACAGCCTTTCTACTAACAAGTGTTTGTCATCAAACACATCGGTAGATCTATTAATAGCTTGGTTCCGCCTGTTGACATTTTGTTGATTTTGTAAAAGCAATAAATTAAATGAAATGTGTTAGCAAACACTATCTGGTGTAAAAGTAAAAGTTAGGACAGCTTAGCAGTTATCCTAAAGATAGGAGAGTTTATTTAAGATTTTAAGAAGTTAGGATGCTTCTTTAATACACTCAATACTGAAAGGAAAGGAACATTGACTTAGGAACTGTTAATTTGAAATGGCTTTATACCTAAATCAGTTCCTAACCCTGATTACCATGGTTACCAAGCAATTAAGATAGGGTCTGCAGGTTAGGAACTTTCTCTAATACAGCCTAAGAGGTATAACTATCCTGTATTTAAAAAAACTTGAGAAACTGGCAGAAGAATGTTTTTTCCTTTTATTTCTCCCCCCTTTTATTTTATTGTAACCCCTCAGATTAATCTTGTGACCACTGGACGGTCCCAACACCCAGGTTGGGAACCACTGGTCTACAGAGTTGGTTGCTTCCACTTGATTCATGTTAAAGTTACTGTGCAGTTGACACATAAGCAAAATTACCACAGTCTCTTATAACAATAAGGCAGTTTTAACATAAAATGTGTGTAATTACAGTTCTGTTTAGAGCAATGCCACTGTTTTTTAATTCATCTGGGACATTTTGGGCGTAAAAGTGTGTGTGTGTGTGAATTAGTCCTTCCTGTCACTAAATTAGTGAATTAGTGACAGGAAGGAGCTGAGCTGGGCCCAGAGTGGTGTGGGTCCAGAATTCTCTTGGCTCACTTTAATCAAACCAGGTGGAGAGAAGGAGGAAGAGTTGGAAAGGTGGTGTTGGTGGTGCTTTTGACTCTTAGTATTCCTCTGTAGCCCCTCTCTCTCTCTCTCTCTCTCTCTCACACACACACACACACACACCCTCTGTTCTCTGTCAGTGTCTCTGCTGGCTGTCTGGCTGGCTGAGTGGGGGACATGTTGTGTACTCTACGGCCCGTCAGTAACCTACTCAGCCTTGCCCTCCGCCTGACGGAGCATTTGCATAACCTCGCTGTGCCTAAGAACAGAGACACGGAGACTTACCCCCCACCCACACCCACCACCCCCACCCCACTTTCAAGTCCCAGCTCAGTCTCCCATGGAGAGAGGAACACATTCTCCATCTCCTCTCCCTCACCCTTCTGTCTTACCTATTCTCTTTTCTCTCCCTCTCTCTGTATCTCTCTATTTCTGCCCCTTCCCCGCTCAAAATCCTGAAGTGAAACACAGTTTAGCCACCCACTCCGATTCTCACACACACACACACACACACACACACACACACCATACCCATCTGTATGTCTTGTCCATTTCCACTCAGGCCTGCTTTTGAAGGGTAGCATTTCACAGTTGCTCTGGCTCGCAGGCATTTCTATAGCTACACTCAGGCTACCTTTGCCTGAGACAGGTGGAACAAAAATGTTAATTTGACCATGTAATGATGTGAATACAGACGAGGCTGTGTACAATAGTTTGCAGGTATCTTAATCACTGAAGATGATGGCTTCATCTTGCTAGCCCTCCAGTTTTCCATTACTGGAAATCCAAGGTTATGTACACCTAATTAAGCGGCCAAATTGAGAACAGAATGCTAATTATGACAGAAAAGAGGAGAAAAGTTGAGAAAACGTTATTCCTCTGAGAGGATGTGTTGGGGGAGGCAATGGAGCTGATCACCCCCCTAGCACACACTCACACACATACACACACATCTTCTCTCCCTCCCTCATGCACAAAGACACACACACACACACACCTCTTTCCTACAGTAGGATTTCATTATAGCTCTTCTCTTCCTTCTCTTAGGCAGTGGTGTTTAGATCCTAACCCCTCCATGAATGCATAATTGATTTTCTTCAAGGTACTTTTTGTGCACACTGCTTTATCCTAACTTCTCACTCGTCTCCTGCTCTACCTCTCAAGCACAAGTCTGCTTTTTAATGCAACAAGATGACAAACCTGGATTCAGGATTGTGAGGATACATGTTGTCTAACAACTAACCATAAAAGCAAGTGCCGTAATACTCAGTGTGTTAGCAATGTAAGATTTATAACATTGATAGAGGGGTGAAAATTGTGGCAATTTAGAAGGAGATGAAAAAATGCTTATGCATTATTTTATCTTGAAGAGATGTTATATTTATTTATATCTTAGATGGGTTTCCACACGTTGTACAATAATTGAGAAAGTATGAGAGCCCCCTGGCTATTTGGGTTAAGTATGTGTACTTTTCAGTGGTTTAGCTCTTACAAATTCTGCAGTCATAAAGGTCAAAATTAAATTTAACACTGTTTAGTGTTTTATTGTGTTGTAGTGTCAACCGCAGGATCGATGGGCTCATTGCTAAGGTATAAACGAAGTGTTCCACAGCCACACACGGGTAATTGTTTATTAAGAAAAAAAGTGGTACTGTTTCTGAACAGCATTTTTGTCTTATGACTGTTTTATATCAAATAAAACCTGGATGTGTTAAAAACTCCTCAGTTTGTTTCCCCTGAATTATAATAAATCACCTAAACATTGTCCCAAAAATCTTTTGTTTCTTCTCAGTCATTCTTGTGTGTTGTAATGGCGTGGTGGCTCACTTGCAACAGTTTAGAGAAACACACATACTTACTCCTAGTTACACACACTGTATGACCACAACTGGTCCTCCTAGTTGGAGCTGCTGGTGTGTGTGTGTCTGTGTTTGGGGTGTGTGTAAGCTGTGGTGGTTAGGGTGATTGGCTGATGCCCAGACAGCATCCTCAAAGGAATTACAAGGAGCAGTTGTTGTTGTCATGGCTAATGTGTGCCAGGCCACCTTTCTCTCTTCATGCTCATACACACACACACACACACACACAAAAACACACTGAAAACCTTTCCCACACTTTCTTTAGTCCTTGCTCTTAGAGATTTCAGGTGGAAAATGCAGGGACAGACCTGTGGCCTGTCGCCAGAGTAAGCGAGGGAGGAGAGGGAGAGAGAGACTGACACAGTTAAAGAGGAAGGGGAGAGGCTTTTAGACAGATGAAAAGAAGGAGTGAGGGAAAGAGAATTTTTGCCATACCAGCTGTCCAGCACTGGCCTGCCAGACTACCCAGAAGGCCATTGGAGTCGTGACTGGAAGAACACTGCTGCATCCACAGGCCTTGTACCTACCAGATGGGGGTGATTGGGAGAGGGAGGGTAAGGAAGGGAAAGGACCAACAGAGGGAAAGAGAGAGAGAAAATGAACATTAGCAATAAAAATTTAAGGGGTCAAGCTTACAGTAGTCAGAATGAATGATCCACCCACCTCGCACACACATCATTACAGATGTGTTTTCTCCTTCTTTTTTTCTCCCACAGATGGCCATCTCAGACATGTAAAAACAGGAGAGCCCTTTGTGTTCAATGCCAGAGAGGATCTCCACCGCTGGAACCAGAAACGCTATGAAGCTCTTGGAGAGGTAACGTGTGTCTGTTTTTTTTAAGCTTCATTCAGGCCATCCATGTTCAGTAACTTTGGCCTCAGCTAGTGGGTCCATAAGGAGTTTCTGTCCTGACCAGTATTTGTAACATGATGATCACAATAGTTGTTGATTCTACGAAGATCAACATTCTTCAGTCACAAAGTATAAAATAATTGCATTCTAACTTGCTTTTTAACACCTTAAATGCCAGTGCCAAAGAATTGCTTTAACAGAAGTGTGCGCTGTGGTCCAGGCCTATATCAGATTAGAATGAGAAAGGTGTATTTTAAAGGTCATGGGTCCGCTAAGGCAGATCAGGACAATGGATTTCACTGTAATCACCTACTTGTCAGCTTAGCTGAGGTATGAGTTGATTTTGAAGTCAAATGGTTATATGGTGGGAAAAGCAAGGACACTGAAAGCTACTTTTTGGACTTTTATTTAAAGGATTCTATGCAACAAAATAGCCTTTTATAGCCTACCTGCTATAAAATGCTGCTGACACATTTTTGTGAAGTTCCTTGATGCTCTTATGAAGTTCTGTAGTCGTACAACTGCATCAACATATATCCAAACATACACCATCCTAAAGTTCACCTCTATTTCATTCCCACAGTACCACTACATGCAATATGCATTAAGATCATTAGACAAATGTTCTTTTGTAATCTGTTTTTTTTTGTTTGCATCCCCTGCTATGTTGCCTTTAATTGTGTGCATTCTTTGAAGTTCAAAGCAAAGTGATAGACCCGTTTGTGGGATTACCTGGGTGTTTTTATTATTTCTAATGCAGGTATACAGTAGCTCCTTTGAGAGCCAGCCTTCTGTGAAGGCTTTTTCCCCCTCTTTTCTTTTGCCTGCTCAAGCACTATCTACCAGCATCTAAAAAGGCTGTAGAAACAAACATTTGGTAGCATGCAAGCAGAGGCCCTGAAAGAACACACAGACATTTAAACTAACTGAACTCAGACATCCGAGGGGGGCCAAACATTTGGAGGAAACAAATAATCATCAAGCAGGATGTATGCAAATTTTATTCATCCTGTGATTAAAAAATTGACAGAAGCATCTTCTTTAGGGGAGGAAAAAGGAAACGGTGTCAATCAGTGTTTATACAAGCTTGTGTAATGAGACCAGATACTGTAAGAGTTGTGCTGCAGGATAATCTCCTGGCTGAGAAGAAGAAAGGAGCACTACCTGAATAAGCAGTATTATCTGTCTGTTGTTTTTAGGCCCCAAATGAGTCAAGAAAATGAATATTGTACCTCATACAACTTTGCAAGTACACATACATTGTGTTTGCTGGTACGAAATATGCTCCATTATAAATAGACTGAATTGTATGCCTTTGGTTGTAAAAGTGGGTTATGCTGCTTAGTCAGCACTTAAAGTGTGTGTGTCACACAGGTGTACCTGCATGCTAATATCTGCGTACGTCTGGCTAACACATGAAGATGTATGTGTGCTTGAGTTCCTCCTTCTATGCCATTGTTTGTCCTTGTTTTTCTCTTATCCCTCTCCTTCATTTCTGCATCAGGCAGAATGAGCTACTTTGTCAGATATCATGAGGGTAATTGTAGAATAGGCTTTTATGCAGCCAGTGCTCATCAGAATCAATGAAATGCACATCTGCCATAAATTGTTGCAGAAAATTGCCATACTCAATACAAGACAACTGGAGGTTCCTGACTTTTGCTGGAGATTTAGCTGATCAGAAGTCAACTCGACAATCTTTAAATGGACAGCTATGTGTAAATGCCACCATAACTTTCCCAAGACTTACTGAAACAAAACCAGAGAATTTGGGTGCTATGAATGGAGCTTCTAGCTGCTTGGGATAATGTGGGTGCAAAATCTCAAGATGAATGCAAAACTGTAATTTATGGATTCAGCTCAGCCAACTTTGACCCTGGACATCTGGCAGACAGCCAACGGTGGGCATTAACACAGAACACAGTCACCCCAGACATTACTACTGGAAAACAGGTTCAAATCATTAATAACTCTACTCGAGACAGAAATGGAGATTGCTGCTGCTAAGTTTGGACATCGGAATATTATTCAGTGTCAACCGACAGAAAAAGCTAAAAAGTCTCATGTGGTTCAAAGGGGAAAAAATATGAATCAAGCTCTAATTCTAGTAGTGGTAGATGACATTCAGAAACATGAACTGTAAGACAGTTGGAACACTATATTCCAGGTGCTATTGTTTGTGACCTAAAGGAGAAATTTCCCAATGAATCATTATTTTACATGTGGGGGCCAGTGAGAGAAATCAGAAGTGCTAAAGAGGGATTTCATTGGACTGTTTAACTGTCCGGATAAACTGGAAGCTTTTAAAACCACAGTTTTTATTAGTTGGCTACTGCCAACTATCAACTATATTGATAACTTCAGTCTGTTTTGTTCTGGAGATGTAATCATCTTTTCTAGGGAGATGACCTTCACCCTAGCAGATCTGGAGTTAAAGTATTGATGGACCATTTTTGGTTCTGTCTGCAACGCTGACATTAAATTCACCCCTGGTCACTGCCCTGTCTTTTGCCTCCACCTCAACCAAGCACATTCTGTAACACCAACCTTGCTGATAACGAAAACGACAAAAAGAGAGAACAGCTCTCCTGATGAGTCTGATAAGGCCACGAAGGTCACTTCATTGGTCTCCCCCCACCCCCCCTCTGAAGGATATCTCTAACAAACTAAGATCAAAGATTAAGGAACTGGACATGATGTTAATGGATGCCACAAGCAAAGAATGCTTCCACTAACGCAGATTATGGAAAACAACATCAACAACAAATTACCATAATTATGCAGACAACACACAGATTTATGTAACTATATCACCAGGTGACTATGGTCTCATACAAGCACTTAGTAAGTGCATCAAACAAATGATTGGAAGTGCCAAGAAGTTCTCCTATAGAAAGATAAAATGCTCAGCCAGGCCAGAAATCTTGTAGTCATGGAGTGAGAGTTAAATTTTAACATCCACATTAAGAGAATTACAAAATCAGCCAACTGTCGCCTTTAGAAAATATCAAGAATGAAAGGACTTAGGCCTATGTCTCAGTAGGTTTTAGAAAAATTTATCCATGCTTTTATCTTCACCAGGCTCGACTACTGTAATTCTGTCTTTACAGGTGTCTCTTAAAAAGTCGATCAGACAGCTGCAGCTAAGGCCAGGAGAGTTGATCACATCACTCCAGTTCTCAGATCTTTGCACTTGCCTAATGTGTGTCAAGGAATTAAATTTAGCATTCAACAGTTTGTTTATAAAGGACTGAATCATTTTGGGCCAAACCATTTCTTATCTACTAAACCGTCCAGACCTCTCAGATCGTCTGGTACAGGTCTGCTTACTGTCGCAGGAGTCAAAACTAAATACGGAGAAGCAGCATGGATTTTTTTTTATGCACCACACATTTTATTAAGTTAGTATTTGGGACTATTTATTCGTATCTTGCACTGTAGCTGCACTATTTTTATTTTACTGTTTAACTTGTCTTATTCTATTTTAGCTTATTTTAATCTTCTATATTACTTTGTTTTAATCCTTTTAAATCCTATTCCTGTGTATTATTATTTTGTCTTTTACATTGCCTTGTGTTGCTTTTATAGCTTGTCTTAATGCCTTTATGTCCTATGTAAAGCGCTTAGAATTGCCTTGTTGTTAAAATGTGCTATAAAAATAAATTTGCTTTGCCTTTCCTTGCCTCTGTCCATCTCTCCCACCTTCCTTTTAGTGTCTTTTTATCCTAGAAGTCCTGTGAGTGAGTTTGTGTGTCTGTGTACATGTGTGAGGGAGCTGTGGGGTGGCGGCTGTATTGTCAGATACATCTCAGCACCAGATGTCCAATTTGCACTTCAGCCTCGTCTGAATGGAGGGACGAATAGAAAGAGGGAGAACGAGGATGTTGGTGTGATGGCCTCCAAGCAAAGGAAAGAAATGGGAACAAAATTTGGGTTGAGCACAGGAGCAGTGAATAATTTTTCACTCTTCATTTTTCATCTATAAAAATTATTCAGAATTTCGCCCATATGTTTATGGTATGATATGGAGGGATTTGCAGATGCTATATCTGAGAAGCTGCACTGGTCCACTTTGTTTGGACACCATGGGCCATATTTCCATGCATATACTGTAAGTGAAGGGCAAATTTATGCCTGGGTACGTGGGCTGCAAAACTATTACCCATAAACTTAAACTACAGCCTATGTAAGCTTGCTTTTATTAGTAATTCATGCTTTTATTAGTAATTCAATAAGAAGCATTAAAAAGTAATTCTGTGAAATGTAAGAAATCACTTAATTAAGAAGAACTACAAGGCATGTTGAGGAAAAGGGGATAGAAAAGAAGGTCAGTAAAACTAAAAGTAAATCACACAAATTCAGCAGTTTGAATGTGCATTTAGGGTAAAGTGTACTGACCCAGTGCAAACATACAGTAGGAAAATGATGTTCTCAGAACCATAAACTCAGGCAAGATAACATTTGAAAGTTCTCGGGGAGCACCTTATTAACTATCTGAACAAATTTCTTTCAAGGGAAAAGCTATGTTATTTGGCTATTTTTCCTTTTTTCCCAGTCAGCCCACTTACTGATGCCTTTTAATGTCTCTCTGTGTAGTCTGAATGTATGGCAATAACATAAGAAAGGGCATTTATGGTTGTCTATCTCTGGATAAGTAGGACAAATAAGAAGTCTGCACAGGACATCCCTTTATGTTCTGAATGCACTCTATAAAATGTTTAAGCACTGACTTGGAGGATCTTATTCTCTGTTATTCCCATTAACCCCAGTGTGTAAAATGTTGTATTATTCAGACATATTCTTTATTGTGTTCTTTTCGTTCTTTCGTATTCTGTTTTGTCATAGTCAAAGTGAAACATTACACAAACCAAGGATGAAAAACCCACAGACTACTAGTGTTGTGGCATTTTCCGTCCTTGGCTCTGACTATTGTCATAATGGCTGTATTACAGCTGTAGTACAGT